TGTTTATGTGTGTGTGTGCTGGAAGAGTGTTTGTGTGTGTGCTGGAAGAGTGTTTGTGTGTGTGCTGGAAGAGTGTTTATGTGTGTGTGTGCTGGAAGAGTGTTTATGTGTGTGTGTGCTGGAAAGCGAGACTGAGGAAGAGCTGGTGTTTTGCAGTGATGTGTGTGTAGGAGCCTGAGTCCGTGATGAAGATCTCCACTGATGATGAGGATGATGGTGAGGGACTCTGCTTCATTCATTACAGTTTGAGGATGTTCGTGTGTGTGTGTGTGTGTGTGTGCTGTGTGTGTCACTGATCAGATGTGTTTGATTCCTCAGGATGAAATGAACAGAAGAGAGCGGATCATCAGACACACACACACACACCTGGATGAAGGTTGGTGCGAATCACAGGACAGTGTCAAGCAATCAAACACAGCATTTAGTGTGTGTGTGAGTGAGTGAGTGAGTGAGTGAGTGAGTGAGTGTGTGTGTGTGTGAGTGAGTGAGTGTGTGTGTGAGTGAGTGAGTGAGTGTGTGTGTGACATGCAGAGACAAAACAATACAACAATACAATACAAAACATTAGATTCCTTCAGCTGTCAATCATATTAATAAACCATCGGGGCCGTTTCACGATATTTGGGGGCCCTAGGCAAAAGAGTGAGGTGAGGTCCCAACTTAGTCCTTCCTCAGGACATCTGTTTAAATTCAGACGGGATTTCTTGTATTCTGGTGCATTTTAGGAGTCATGGATTACTCTGTCGTACACTACACAGAGTGGCCACTAGAGTGTAGTAAAGGACGCAGTGTCTTCAATGAGGCATTGTTGATGTGAATGACACAATTTGATTAATGTTTATTTTTGTCAACAAGATTAAAAAAAAAGTATAATTATTCATATAATTATTCTGTTATCATTAGCATGGCAGAAAATCTCATGCGATGTAATCTGGGCTCGTGCATGAAGAGGATTAGCTCAAGGGAAGGTTTCGATCGCTGTAGCTACAGCAGAGAAGGGCCGAGAAGCTGTCGAGTGTGTGTTTATGCTTTAATTCTGCAAACAGAACACAGTTGTGTATGACTATTAATTAGTCGAACTTTTTCACCCTCTAACAACGCTCATCTACCGTTGTGTTTGGTCACTGATGTCAAGGTTTATGTTCGCAGAGATGTGAAAACACGTCAGACAGTATTTGGAGATAATAATGGTTTACTTATCGCTGTGTCTTTGGTGTTTTTCCTCTTCTTTCTTTCTTTCTCTGTCTTTTGGAAAATCCTGAAGGATATGAGCGCTTCATCATGATGGCATGTTTAAATGTAAATGCCCGCGTAGCGCTGAGTGTGGGAACGACAGTTCCTCTTCCACTGACCGCTAGTGGGGGGCCTGATGGGGGTGCGCGACGGTGGATGTCACTTCAACATTACAGTGATTAGGGCACTCATAGTGTTTGTCGTTGCATAGGGGGAATCCCTCTAGTTTGGGGGCCCTCTCACTCACGGAGCAGTACTGGAGAGTGATAGCGCTGTCTCACTGTGGTGGTTTGTTTACAGTGGTTGATACTGTTTGACGAGGGCAGATACACAATCCAAACGACCTTGCGGCCATCGGGGGCCCCCTTCAGCTGGGGGCCCTACCCCACTGCGCGAGTAGCATCTGCCTGCAGTCCCGGAGGCTGCATTTTCAGGACCCTAGTTTTTTAGTGACAACGCCACCTACTGAATTAGAGGACCAGCGAAGATGGATGACATTCAGAGTGTGAGTATCAAAGGCGAATCAATTTTTATTTGTTTAACTTTAAAAACAATTGTGATGCATTTCATTGGAAAGTTAACGTTGCCAACGTGCTGGTGATTTGCTAAACAGTCTTGAATGCATAGCCATCATATATTAGCCTCTAATGCTGGAAAATGAATTGTTGAACTCATTGTTTTTCCATTTTAATTCAGTTAAAATAATCTTAATGTTTTCACTGTCACGTGCTCACAGTCAGCCTGTTTAACGTTACCCACAATACATGTTATGTGTCTCTTCATTTTGACATGGTTTTATAAAGTTGGTAGTGCTGCTGCATACATCACAATGTGTGCTTTAAATCTTATATATATATATGGTCAGGAAAAGTCGTGTCAATAATGTTATTTCTATTCAGATTTCTTGCATCTCTCTCTATTTTTTTTTTTTCTCAGTTCAGATGGGCTTTATTGACATGAGTGTTTCTAGAACCTTTGTTCCCACAACATCAAAAATTAAAAATATATATTTTTTCCAAATCTTTGAACAGTATGCAATAATTTTATTATGAACATTAATTGGTATGAAGATTGATATCATTATTTTTATCATTATCATTACTCTGTGGTAACTAAGATCTTTTAAATATGAAATTTAAAATTAGAGAGTAGAACATGTTCAACTAAATGTTCCTTATTTAATTCACTTCTCTTTCTATCTCTTAAGAGTCAGTGATGATGTTGTCCATGTGTTTGTCCATCCATTGAAGTTCTGTCTATGTGGTTCACGTCATGATCAATTTTGTTTTTGTGTTCAAGTTCAGGTGTTATATATTATTTTGTAAAATACACAATCTTAAATCTACCCCCAGAGTCATCCTTGTCTTCCCTCTGTACTTGAAAATGTGGTCCATCTAGTGACTGAAAAGGCTATAACATGATTCCTTGTTTATTTTACTTGAGTTATTATATGCTACTTAGACCCAATCATTCATTTCTCAACATTCCTAGGAACCTGGTTTAATTACAATAAAGAAAGTAGTATGTGGGTGTAATACAACTTAAAAAAAAAACTCTAATGTAGTTCAAACTGGGTGGAAATACTGCCTTGGTGGCACTTTTTTCGGTCTTCCAAAACTAGGGTCCTGGAAATGCGTTCCTGGGACTGCGGTTCTCCGACTCGGTAGGTGGCGTTGTCACAAAAAACTAGGGTCCTAGAAATGCGGTCCTAGAAGTGGGGTCCTGAAAATGCAGCCTCCGGGACTGCAGACAGATAATATTGCACTGCGCCGGCTCTGGGTACAGTCATAAAGCATGAACAGTGTTTAGCTGCGTCTCCTCTAGTGGATCGCCAGAGCTCAGCTGACGAGCTCAGTACATGTTCAGGACATGTTTAAAATGCTCTTACTTAGTCTGAAGCGCTTTTAAAGGGATAGTTCACTTTGAAATTAATTTTTGGTATGTTTTAGCTTACCTCAAGGGCATCCAAGATGTAGGTGTCTTTGTTTCCGCAGTAGTTTCAATTTTGATATTTTTAGGTCAAACCGTTCTTGTCTGTCAGTCATATAATGCAGGTCTATGGTCACCACCTCAAAGAGCAGCACAGAGAAGTCCAAATTAAACATGATTTAATGACTCGTAAATGTAAGTACACATTGATGGCCTAAGACACGAAACGAGCGGTTTGTGTGAGAAAACGAACAGTATTTATATCGTTTTTACCTCTTGTAAACACAGCCACGTCCAAGCGATCTGAGGGCGCCGGCGCTTCGGTCTGCACTAGCGCCGGAAGTGATCTCTGAAAAAATTCAACGTTGTCTGTTGATATATCGAAATCGTCTTCCATTGCGATTTCCTGTATATCTAAATATGTTTAGATCTTCACAGTGAAAGGTAACACTTTCGAAATCTCTGTGTAAACAATGAGTGACGTACACGCGCGAGAGATCACTTCCAGACCGAAGCGCCCGCGCCATCAGATCACTTGGACGTGGCTGTGGTTACAAGAGGTAAAAACGATATAAATACTAGTGGTGTGCAGATCGAGGCTGCGTGAAACACTGAAACAGTTGAATCAAATGTGCCGTATTGTGTCGAGGCTTTGAAACAATCCAACACCCGTCTCCACGGCGACCCCTAGTGGTCAGAACTGTGTAAATGCAACAAAAACCCAAGCCAAACCTGCATAAAAACACCGTTTACAAATCTATTGCAAACTTTTTACTGAAAGTAAAATCTTTCAAATGCAGTTATCTAATCATCTAATAATATTATCATGCGTAAATGTGTTATTTTATCAATTGTCAGGGTTTGTTTAGTTTGTTCTATGAATGGCTCAGCTAAACAGGCCAATTAGACTATTAACCATCTCATTTTAATTATACTAATGTCTAATTAAAACGTCTACAAATGTATAAAACTGATCAGAGATCAGGTAAACCCCACAGACACTTGTTCACTGGTTCTCAGTGACTCCTCGTGATTCATGGCTCGACTGAGATCATCGCCTCCAGCGGTGAAACACACACAGTTATGGCGTAATGAAGCCTCGTTTACTGAAGTCACGTGACTCTGGCAGTTTGATACACACTCCGAACCACTGATTCGGAACAAAAGATTTGTAAAGGCTTCGAAGCTTCATGAAGCAGTGTTTTGAAATTGCCATCACTAATAAATACTGTTCGTTTTCTCACACAAACCGCTCGTTTCGTGTCTTAGGCCATCAATGTGTACTTACATTTACGAGTCATTAAATCATGTTTAATTTGGACTTCTCTGTGCTGCTCTTTGAGGTGGTGACCATAGACCTGCATTATATGACTGACAGACA